CTGCTTATATAGTAACTTAAAATCTATCCTTATCACTAAATGCATGATATTGGTTTATCTCTCAAATTGAAGATACAAAATATTTGATCATAAAATAAACAAAGAAAATATTCTATCCTAAATACACAAGTAATTTGAGCATGCGTAAATAAGCAATTTGAGCAGACAAGAAAATACTCTATCCTAAATAATCAAGTAATTGTTATCTTCTTGTGCGTTGGTGGTATTTTGCTTACATGAATGATATGCAATTTAAACAACCACCACTGCTAATGTGCACGGATTTCTTATCCTAAATACATTAAAAAACCAATTTTATCATGCCTAAATATAAAATAGCTAAATAGTAAAGGCCGCAGAGTTTTCCTTAAGATAAGAATGTTGAGAAAATTTATTTAAATTTGAACATTCTGCGGCCCGCCAAAGTGTAATAAAATATTTTAGTACTAGGTTTCTTGTGGTCGACGAATAATAATCACATTCGCCTTCCCCTTTAACAAACATTTTCTTATAAAGTAAACTAGGATAATCATGATAAATATACATAAAATACTTAATGATATATGTCCAGTTGCGTGATGGAAGTGTAAACCTTTCAGGGTCCAATCTTCTGCTTGGATGCGGTGAATCTGTTGCTTAATTTTAATGATGTCTTCTTTATGATCGATTAAGTGTGAATTTAATGGCTTCAATAGATCAGCTGATGTATCTTGCATATGTTTTATCAATTGTATACCAAAATCCCCTTGAGTTGATACATTGTTATGATTGCTTGCTGGTATTTGCGTCTTTCCAATTTGGCCAGAGCACCCTGATTGCAGTATCAACAGACCCTGCTGTGGAAGTGAAAACAGGTCTTGATGCTTCTGGTCACAAAATACGTGTAAAGTAGCGTTTAATGATGCCCTAAAAATCCATTGCCGACGATTATTTAGATTTACCCACATATGTTTGTTACTGGCCTCTACAAACTGGCATACAATCTTCTTATGTGGTTTCAAAGGGGATACTTCACAGGAGTTATCGTTTGCATCTTGCCATGCCCAAGTCTCTTCACATAGATATTGTCGGTCAGATATGGTTTTACATTGACGCCACTCCAATTCAGACATTAAATGGTAAACATCACTCTCGTGACTGTAGACTAGGTAAGGTTGAGCTATGGACGCCACTACGTTCGTATCGCCATGTTTGACCGGAACTGGAACTACCTTAAAAATGTTAGAAAATTTTATTGTAATCAGAGGAATTTGTATTTTGATAACTAGCTTGCTGTTGACAATTATTGCCTCTCCTGTTAGAAGACGGATAATTGTGGCAATTTGATTGGATGTATCACCAGGTAATTTCATCTTCTCTGGTAGCCATGCTTTTATTTTTGCAATTTCCAAGCTAAGTTGTTCCGGTCTTAACAGAACTGAACTAATTTTTCCATGATTAACATCTATTAGTAGCCTTAGCACTTGAAATTGAATCTTTTCTATTTCTTGTAGTTGAGCCTCCATCTGATTTGCGACTGCCATAAATTTAATGATCTCTTTATAGACAAAATATTGTTCATTTGTGATCTCGATCATGTTCTCAACCTTTTCCTGAATTTGCTTATAACCTTCGTTTACTTCGTTGGAGGTTTTCTGTAAAACATTTATCGTAGCATTAACCAATGAGGTTTGATTGCGAAGCAGGTTTTCAATCTTGAATTGGTTGCTTAAAAGATTTCTCATGTCGTGTTCTAATTCTTCACGATCGTCATTGTCCATTAATCCAAACAGTAGGTGGTATATGGAACCAACAGCATTTAAAGATCTCTTGATACGATTATTGTCTTTTAAGCCAAATAACTTATTATTGGATTTTACTTCGGCAATTTTATGTTTCATTCTTATCAGAGTTTCTTCACAATGATATCTAAACTCTCCAAGTCTACCACATATCTGCCAACTACGCTCAATTAAATCTGTTAGCTGCGAAACTGATGCTATATATGTCGTTAAATCGTAATAGACCACCATGTTCCATTTTGAAGATGTAACATCCATTTTACCTAAGTGATCTAAATAAACCGCTGTTCCTTCATTAAATGGAGATATTATTGTTTTTGTTGTGTTTTGTACCGCTGCTACTTGACCAAACACTAACAAGAACATTGCTAGAAATATTTTGGAGATGTTCATTTCTGGTTTCTTAGATGCTCCCTTTAACTTAGGACCGATATCTGGATCATGATAAACATCTAAAGGACATATTTTTGTTACCGGTCTTTTTACAATGGTATCTTGCATCTTAACTGTAACAACTCGAGTTTTGCCATCCGTACCATTATGTGTTTCAATAATTTTACCCAAAGGCCATCTAGCTGGTGATGTGTTTTCATCTTTGATAAGAACTACCTGATCTTTTTCTATATTTGGGGCAGAATGCTTCCACTTGCGACGATGTTGAAGACTTGCAAGATATTCATTTTTCCATTTATTCCAGAAATCACTTTTTATTTTCTGAATTATTTTCCACCGATTAAGAGAATCAATTGATTTTGAACAACTTTCCTCTGGAATATCAATTAAAGGTCTTCCAACTAGGAAATGGCAGGGAGTTAAAACATCAGTATTCTCTGTATCATCTCGTACTTCACATAACGGTCTAGAATTTAACACTGCTTCCACTTGAATTAACAGTGTCGACATTTCTTCATAAGTTAATTTCACTTCACCAATGACTCGTCTTAAATGATGTTTCATCGACTTGACTGCAGCCTCCCAGATTCCTCCAAAGTGAGGACCTCCCGGGGGAATAAAATGCCATGTAATTTTTTCCGCTGCCATCGTTCCAGCAAGTGATGAAAGTTTTCTAATAGCTTTTTCATATTCATCATATATTTTCTTAGCAGCACCGACAAAATTTGTACCATTATCTGAATATAAATGCGAACTTTTGCCTCTTCTACCGAAAAATCTTCTAAGGGCAGCCAGAAACGCGTCTGTTGACAGGTCACTTACAGCTTCTAAATGGATTGCTTTCGTAGCCATACAAATAAAAACGGCTATATAACCTTTATATGATTTCTGACCTCTTCCTTTCGATACTCTCATTTGTACGGGGCCTGCATAATCTATTCCTGCATGCTCAAATGGCTTCGATATTGACACTCTGCTTTCCGGTAGGTTCCCCATTAACTGTGTAGCGGTTTCACGCCTATATCGTATACATCTAACACAACTTCGAACATACCTTTTAATAATATTTCTAGCATTAATTATCCAATATTGCCGCCTCAGCATATTTTCCATTAGTTTTATACCGCCATGTAGTGTAGTTTTATGATAATCATCAACTATTAGCATCGTTAAGTGACATTTTGGTAATAGTATTGGATGTTTTCTAGCAAAAGAGAATAGAGAATTTTCTAACCGGCCTCCGACTCGCAGTATTTCATTTTTATCCAGAAACGGGTAAAGACTACAAATTTTATAACCAGATGGAAGTTCTCTTCTGTTTTTGATCAAATTGATTTCTTTTGTGAAATATAAATGTTGAGTATGCCGTATTATAATATTTTCTGCCTCCCTTAATTCTTCTACTGTCAACCACACAGGAAACTTCTCCTTTTTTATTTTTCTGATGAATCTGCTTATATATGCAATGACGTATAATAATTTCCTATAATTGGAATACCGTTCTATTATATCGTTGATTATATTCTGTGAAGAGTTTATATTATTTGTTGCACAAAGAACAGATTCAGTTGGTGTTGGCCAGTTTGATTCATCTTTTAACCATGTAGGACCATTCCACCATAATCTATGTGCTGCAAGTTTTTCTGGTTTCAAGCCCCTTGAAGCCACATCCGCTGGATTATCTTCTGACCTAACATGATTCCACGTTGCCGAAGGCATGCATTGCTTGATTTCTCTTACACGAGTCCCAATAAATTTATCTTTAGTTTTATTTTCGTTCTTGATCCATGATAATGCTATTGTTGAATCGCTCCAAGCATATATTTTGACTTCTCTGTTTATAACTTCTTTAATGCTTTTCATAAGTTTTCCTAACAGATGAGCTCCACATAACTCCAGCTTGGGTAATGTCTTTTTGTTTTTTATCGGATTTACTTTAGACTTTGCTGCTAGAATAGTAATAGCATTAGAAGTTTTAGCATAAACTACTGCTGCATAAGCCTTCTCTGAAGCGTCCGCAAATCCATGAAGCTCTAAACTTGTGTCAGCTAAAGTTGATATCCATCTAGGAATTCTTATATTTTTAATAGTCGAAATCCTTGAAACAATCGCATTCCATTCGTGAGATAATTTAACGTCTAACTTCGTATCCCACGTCAAGTTCATAAGCCATAATTTTTGTATAAATAATTTCGCCATTGTTGTTGTTGGTGTCAACCATCCAAGTGGATCATAGATTCGAGCCAATATAGACAGTGCCTTGCGTTTAGTTATGTTAGTACTATCTACTGACTCGATGTAAAAGGTGAAATTGTCTGATTTCGGCACCCATTGTATACCGAGCGTCTTAACAGCTTCTCCGTCTTCTACTTTAATAATATAACTGTCTCCAGAGTCCGAAATTTCACCTAAAATTCGCTTTTCGTTTGCCATCCATTTTCGCAAATGAAATCCAAACTTTTCTAGCTGCCGACTTTTTTCAAATTGAATGTTTACACATTCCTTTATGGAGTCCGCACCTGTCATCAAATCGTCCATATAGAAATCATTTTTTATTATCTGATATAACTTTGAGTTTTTATCTGCACAATCATAAGCAACTTCTAGTAGAGCTCTTTTTGCCAAGAACGGTGCACAAGAAGTTCCGTAGGTTACTGTTTTCAGTACAAATTCTTCTATTGGTTTTTCTGGATCTTCACGCCATAGGATAGTTTGGTACGGCTGATCTTCTTCTGCTACCAAGACCTGCCGATACATTTTTTCTATATCAGCTGTCATAACGTACTTCCACAATCTCCACTTGATTAGTAGCTGAAATATGTCCAACTATAGCTTAGGTCCAGTGTGTAGTATTTCATTCAAGCTTTTTCCGTTAGTAGTTTTTGCTGAAGCATCAAATACTACCCGAACTTTTGTTGTTGAATGGTCATCTCTTATTACAGCTTGATGAGGCATATAAAATTTACCAAATATCATTTTAGAAACTTTCTGCATGTGACCCATTTCCATATATTCCTTCATGAACTTGATATATTCTTTTTTTAGCTTAGAGTTTCTTTTAAATCTTTTTTCCAAACACAAAAGCCTGGCCATAGCCATTTTCCTAGAGTCTCCTAGTTCGTTTTCTTTTTTAAATGGTAATTTTACGATAAATCTGTTTTCCTTATTTAGCGTTGTTGTTGATTTAAACCAGTTTTCACATTCTTTATCAGTTTCATTTATTTCAGATGCTTCACAAACTTCTTCAATTTCCCAAAATCTCTCAATGTTTGAAGTAACTGCTGATATTATAGTTTTGACTGTATTGTTTGTGTTGATAACTCCAGATAATATCCAACCAAGGGAAGTTTCTTGACCTAAGATTTTACCCCATTTTCTCAAACCCGGCTGCAATATCTCGGTAAGGATATCTGCTCCCAGCACTATATCTATCCGGTCAGATTTATTAAACATAGGATCAGCTAAACAATAATTGTCCCATTTTTTTAAATCTTCATTAAACGAATTATTAGGTTGTGCTGATGTTAGCTTGCTAAGAACCATAGCTTTAATTTTGTAACTGTTATTGCTTTTAAATCTTGGACGAATTACGAGTTCTACTGTTGATTTTGATGTTCCTACTAATGTATTTCCTAGTCCAATCAGATCCGTTCTTGATTTAGTTCTATGTAACCTTAATATTTGTGCTGCTTCCTCTGAAATTGATGTCCTCTGTGAACCTTGATCTAGCAGCGCTCTTAACAAAACCTTTTCACCACTTGCAGAATCCGCTTGAATCTGTGCTGTTGCTAATAAAGTGATTGCACTATTTTCTTTGGTAATCATGCTTGCAGCTGCACCAGCACTAGTTTGTGGTTTATTTTGCACAATTCTCTGAAAGTGTAGCATACTGTGATGCTGTCCTCCACATTGCTCACACTTTTTATCTAGCTTATAGCATTTCTTGTCATTTTTGTGTGTAAAACATATTTTACATAACTTTGTTTTATTAATCCAGGAGTTTTTATCACTAACCGATAGCTGAGTAAACTTCCGGCATTCAATAACAGAGTGACCTACTGTGTTACAAAACATAC